CGTCCAATAGCTGCGGCAGCCTGAGTGGAGCCGAGGGTAGAAAGCAGTGCGGGAGCTTCAGAGGCTCCAGAGGAGAGGAGAGGAGAGGAGAGGAAACTGCAGTCCGCCGGTGATGCTTAACGCGGCTTCGGCGTCACATTGATGGGGATAAAACCTCCTGCTCAAATTTAGGCGCTCTCTGATCGTGCATTTGCGTGCACTTGCACGCGCCCTCTGTGTGTGTGTGTGTGCACGCGCGTGTGCTTCCGAGACTGGAGACTTAGAGGAAAAAAAAAATAATGATTTAGCTCAGTCTCAGTCTGATTCATACCAACACTTGGAGGCGCCGTGCGGTGGACCCTGCTGGACATTGACAAACTTTTTTTTTTTTTTTTTTTTTAAATTTATTGCCGTTGTTGTCATTTACTTGAGTCGATCATTTGGAGCCCACGCTTCGGGACAACATGGACAACGAGAAGTACATGCAGGAGCTCGTGGCGGAGAAGGACTCGCTGGACCAGTCCTTTCAGCACTCCCAGCGACTATTAGATCAAGGTAAACAACCGTGCGTGAATGGAGTCTGTGTTTAAAGCTGTGGCTCCACGTCACATTTCACAACAGTCCTTGATTCGGGACGGAGGTTTGTGAGTGTAGTGGGGATGTTTTTTCCCAGTCATTTTTTGCCCAGTTGACCAATGTAGAAATCTGGAAATTTAAGTCCTTATAGGGAAAACGGAGACTAAGTTTGTCAAGTCGACTAGCATCAAAACACCTGCTAAATAAATCTAAAAAAAAAAAAAAAAAAAGCTAAGAAATTCAACCGTTAAACGGATATGAATTTAATTTTGCAAAATCAGTGCAAAATGATGATTATAAATTATAATAAATTAAAAAAAAAATCCATCCTCCTCCTCCACAGCACACACACACACAAAGAAAACACGAAACTGTTTTGGAATAAAGGTGAAGGAATTCAACCTCTACACTTGACTGTTTTCACGCTGCAGTCGGTGAAGAAATGCCTGGTCCGTACACCAGGTCGTGGAATAATTACATATTTATATTCTACGCAGTACACGTGTTCTCTGCTCTGAAGAAGCTGCTGTGACAAATCCATCCAAAGCCTCAGCCTCAGCCTCAGCCTCAGCATCAGCAGCATCAGCAGCAGCATCAGAGCTCACGGAAGCTTTAATTAATCCATTGCCATGCCGTCTGCGTTAAAGCCATCAGGATCTTCCAAACAGGCTTTCATACTGCCGACCACAGCTGGAGCTCCTGCTGAGCTCCCGTGGCCTTTGTCTGTAGGCCACCGTTGGTTCTAAAACCGGAGCAGACGAGCGGCGTCACCCGTCGGTGCTCCTTGTAAATAGTTTCACTGGAACTCCAGATGTAGCTGCGGCACTAAACGCTTTTCATCCAGTCACGTCACTTCTGGTTGCCGCCGTTTGGAAAGTGGAGGGCCCTTTTAAAAAAGAGGGGCCCTCAGAGGAGCGGAACAGATTTCGTTTTAATGACTTTCCCCAAGTGACAAACATTCGCTCGTCTAACTTTATTCCCTCATGCTCTCTCTCTCTCTCTCTCTCTCTCTCTCTGTCGGCTGAACGTGACTTCTAACAGAACCTGGTCTTGTTGCTTTCACTCTGTTTTGTTTTTTAAAGCAATGGGGACAAAACGAAACACATGACCGCATGCAAAAACGACAGAAAGTGGGGCGTGCTTTTCAATCTTGGGATCGAGACCCCATGAAGGGGTCGCCCAAAATTTGAAAAACAATGGTCATTAGAAATAAGAAACAACACAAATCTCTTGGAAGAAAAGCAGCATATTTGTTTCCATAATGTAACATAATGGATTATATAATAATGTGCTCCGACATCATATTAATTACAACGGAGGAGTGAAGGAGTGTGTGTTTGCTGTTTCTGTCGTGTCCTCACAGAAACTTTACTAATATATACAGTACATATAAAGAAAATCACTGAATGTCATTCTAAACAGACCAATAACTCAATAAATCAACCTGAATCGTCACATTATCATCTTTTAAAAATACTATGACAAGAAGTGAAATGGTTTCACATTTATTCATAATTCTTTCAAGTTTGGGTTCAAAGAATGGACTCGGGTTTTCTGCGAGCTAAAGTCATTTTCTCCACTCGCTCTGACAAAGCCCAGCACTCAGTGCTTAGGAAAGCACGTTTCTTTATTTAAATCTGGGTTAGTGCTTTTTCTCTTACGATTCCGCTCACTAATAGAGTGGATGCTGCGGCCAGTGAATATTTAATTCACTTTGACAGACACCACGCCACCACTTCCTCTCTCTCTCTCTCTCTCTCGAAAGTCTTTCTCTCAACTGCGTCCACTACTTTAGCGAATAAAACAATAGAAAACAACGGTGAGTCGAAAAGCTGCAGAAGTTCCTGCGGGAACAGTTTAAGACTTGTTTCCATCAGGGGTCAAAGGCCGCTGTTGGAGTATAAGCCTCGTGACATTTACTGGAAGGACGGGGGCCGAAGAAGAATTGGTGGAAAATAAACTTCCACAACAGCCAAACTGTAAATACCGTTATCTCCCGTACAACAGATGGGACACGAGGCAGCTTAATAGAGCACTGTTTCTGCCATCTTGCTGATGAGTTCTGGACTTAAATATGCGATCGACAGGAGTGGGGGGTGGGGGAGTGGAGTAGCTAGAGTTGTTTCAACCAAACGGCAAATATGAGATTACCGCAGGTCCGCGGAGACTTGCATTCGGGAGAAATTAGAGGAGCATTGTGTCCGAAGCCCGGGGACAGGATGGAGCTCTTTGATAAGTGCGTGCCATTCACGGAAGTCCCTTTCTCCCACTTGGACTGACTGCACGTCTTTCTGTCTCTCTGTCTGTCTGAGACAATCTACTTAGAGAAGTAGACAGAGACGTGGAGTTTGGGACACGTCTTTCATAAGAGACGGGAAGAACTTTTTTTTGTGAAACTTGGAGGGAGATTAACGAGGGGATGAGGGAAAACATCTTGTTTCGTTTTCTGAGTGCAAATGCAAAATGCAACTCCGACGGGTCAAGTTGAATTCATTTCTACTCTGAGGTCAGGTCTTGCTACTTAGCCGGTATCAGAACAAATATCCGATGTTCAGATCGGATCACTGTCACTGTCTGAACCCTGATGTGACCAGGTTTCCCTGACAAACAGCTGACCTCCATTACTGTACGAACGGTTCCTAATCCAACAGAAACCAAATAGGGAGAGACTGCTGGAGTCTGTACCAGTACCCTGCGGTACTGTTTTGATAAGATGATACTCTTATCAGTTGTCTTCTTCATGCTTCAAGTCTGGGGTCAGGTGTTGCGTGCAGCTGCAGGTGCAGGTACATGTGATCTGCAAACCCAATTCTACTAATTGATTTTTTTTTTTTTTTTTTTTATCGGTCATCTGAACCGACTTGGTCACTTTAGACTGGAGACACATTAATGGGTATTAAACAGCACCGCTGTGAAGAGGATTAAGAGGGAATTTACACTCAGTTCTTCCTCAGGAAAAAGACAACATTTCAGCAGAAATCAACTGCACTTGCATTGTTTTGAATGTGTTTTCGTTTGGATTTCAGTAACGGTTAAATACTGTTGATATTCCTTGTGCGGCAGATACGTTTTTCTCGTCCAAACTGACCTGGTTTGAACGTCGTAACCCTCATCGAACTCACAGGCTACATATCTGCGGCTTGTTTAATTGGACAGTTCACAGCAGGAGCGCCGCGCGTTTGTTGCTTCGCACAAACTACTTTGCTTAGCTTAGCCTTGTTAAGGCACAGAGGCCATTAACAGATATGTGTACAGATGAAGCCGAGGCTACAAAATATCCTGTTTCAGACGCATTTGCAAATATGTAAATCTCAAAGAGCAAAAGGAAAAAACAAAACAAAAAAAAAACGATGAGTATTTTTAGCCTTGCTGAAGTTTTTTTTTTTTTCCCCCTCCTGGTTATAGCGGTTATGCACTGGCACACAGTCAGAGCGACATCCTTTTGTCGGGGAAACACTGCTTGATAGTGATAATGATCTGTGGATCTGCGGCTCACAGTAAAGTGTGACCTGCAGAGGGCAGATGTGGGAGCTAAAGAAAAACCGCTGTGCGTTCAGCCAGCCGGCGGGAGGCGGCTACGCTGCTTTGCGCTGCGGCTGAGAGGTGTTTGTAGAGCTGTGACTTTGCTCAGCTGCAGCTTCCACTGGAATCAGAGGTGAAATGTGGGGCAGGGCGACGTGGGCCAAGTGGAGCCATAAAAGCTAACAGGGACTCGTTGGCCGAAGTGGCGAGCCACGTGGCGTCTTTGACTCCACTGCTAATGAGGTACGTTCTGTCCCCGAGTCCATATGGTGGCGATGATGAGTCATGCCGTCATTTAGCTCAACTCATTAGTTAACAACAAGATGTGCTACATGTATAGTACTAATATACTACAGTATATACTGCATATATTAAGAACACATGTAGCTACATTATATATATTTCTATTCTTATCATTTTATTTTATAAATATTTATTTTGATTTAATTACATTTATTAAATTTACTATATGATCATATTAAATATATAATTAAAAAATGAATGAGGTGACCCCATTTGTACCTCACATGGGGTCACGACCCTCAGGTTGGAAAAAAAACTGCATTACATTATGTCATAGCAAAACCTGCAAACCGTTTCTTCCCCCTTTTTTTTTTCTTTTCTTTTTTTTTTTTTTTTGTTTTGATGTACGTTCACGGATCCCGTGCGAACTAGGGCAAACGCGGACACTTCAGAAGGAACCGGGAGCTTTGGACGACTTGAACGAGCACACTCTGCAGGTTCCAGATGAGATCATGTGTTTACTTGCTGAACATGCATTCGTCCGCTCAGTCTTTCAGCGGTAAACTGTGTGGTGACGCACCAGCGGCCCCAGCCTGAGAGGAAATAAGATCCTTTAACAAGAAAAGCAAAACAACCCTGGTGTTGCTGCACCTAAAATATGCATGGAAGTGTTTGGTCTGGTGATGGTGTCGTTTTAGTGTCGGATTAGGCTTGTCATTCCAAACGCGTCACAGTGACCCCGCCCCGACCTCACGGTTAACGTGACTAATGTGTGTCTTACGTGGTATGTCTAAGCTAACAGCATTAGCTTTAACTTGTGAGCGGGAGCTTCATTCTGGATAAACAATATTGAACTGAGGCCCAGCACATCGACACTAACCATATATGGGAAACTGGTTTGGTCTGGACCAATCACATCAGCCATATAACCACCAACCAAAACTTAACATTTGCATATTAATTGTAGTTCAAACAGTTACAACAACAACAACATATTCTTCACATAAACGTTCAATTATTACTACTACTACTACTACTACTAATAATAATAATAATAATGTCCCCTATTTGTCCTCACAGATGACTTTGTTTATTAATGGCCGTCCAATGTGAAGCGGAGTTCACCATATAACATTAAACACTCTTTTCAATAAACAAATCATGTACTCACACCAGGGAAACCGTCCTCTCCATCTGTTGTTCATCGCTCATTT